GCAACTTGGAGAGACCTCATCTCTACAATAAATCAAAAATTAGCCGGGCATGGTAGCGTGCGCCTGTAGTTCCAGCTACTTGGAAGGCTGAGGTGGAAGGATCGCTGGAACCCAGCAAGTCAAGGCTGTGGTGGCCAGGAGCGGCCACTGCACTCCAGCTTGGGCGACAGAGTGAGACTCCAACTCCAAAAAAAAAAAGTGTGACCTCCAGAAAAACTTACTCAAATCCAAACTCTGTCTCTGTCATTTACTAGCTATGGAATCTTGGACTAGGCACTTGCAATTTCTATGCCTCAGTTTATTGGTCTGTAAAATAGGTTTAATAATATTATCTATTGGGGGAAGAAAACAACATCAATAAGGGTAACTGATCTCAAACCAGGCAAAATAGGGACCAAATTGAGGCCCGAACTTTACCTGTACAATGACCACTTGTATACCCAATTTTGAATTGTACCCCACATCTTTAAAATTAAAAAAATTTTAAAAAGATTAGAACATAAAATTATTTGTGACTCTATATTAGAAATATAAACACTGAAATAAAAAATATACTACCAATTACTACACAACCCTATGAAAATAAAATACATAAGTGCAAATATGAAAAAGAAATGTGAAAAATAAAATAAAAATGAATATGAAAGATTATTTATTTTGCAGGTTTGTTGTAAGAAGTAAGTTAATATATGTGAAGACTATAGAATACTGCCTAGTTTTCAGTGAGAATTCTATAAGAGCTATTACTTCTGAGGTCTAGCATCTGTATTATATTTCAAACTCCTTAACTTTATCATTGTATTCCTACCAACAAGTGCATTTTCTGACATATAATAAGTTTTCAGAAAGCACTTATTGAACTAATGAATTGCAGAAAAAATTAGCCAATGATATTTTGCAAAGCTAAACATCGTACTTTTGGCATTAACTATTTCAGAGTTAAAATAATTGAAGTATAGTACTAGCAGATGAAATAAAAAAACAAAAATATACATATACACATTTGTAGGATATGGTAAAGAACACATTTCAATTCAGTTTAGATATTTGCAGGACTCAGGGATGCAAAAGATTCAAACCAAAAATCTTGCCCTGTTGCACTTTTGGCGTGGTGGTGGGGAGTAGCAAATATTAAAGGATACATTAGATTAACTTGATTTGTTGCAGTAGTTGAGAATATGGGCTCTGGAATTAGGCTGTCTTAATTTCAAATCCTCGTTATAATATACAGAAGCTTTATAACTGCAGGTGTTGTGTCTTCATGTATCTTAGCTGTCCTCAGCTGTAAAACAGGGACACTACTACTATCTGTACTAAAGAATTATTGTATAGAATTGGACATTAGTAAAATGCTTGGAACAGGATCTGACATATAGCAAAGGTCAATAAGTTTTAGATGTTATTAAAGTTAAAAATAAGTTATAAACCCTAGAATATCTAGAAAAAAATATGGGCATATATTCGTGATGAAGATATTAAGAGACCATCTTTAAAAATAAATAAAGGGAGCCGGGCTCGGTGGCTCAGCCTGTAATCCCGCGCCTTTGGGAGGCTGAGGTGAGCGTATTGCCCGAGCCCGCGGGTTTGAGACCTGCCTGGGCAGGTGAGACCTCATCTCTACAGTAAAATCAAAAAATTAGCCGGGCGTGGTAGCGC